TTATTCATTTCTGAGAAAAACTTCCTGGAAATAGGTTTCAAAAGAGGCAAAAACTGTCACTTTTTCTGTCTGCATAGGAATAAAGTCCTTTACTTGACAGTAAATGTTACAAAGGCTTTTGGTCACTCTTGATCCTCAATATTTCCATCATCACCCTGACTGCCCCATCCAGTCCACTACCTAACTAGCCTTACTCACTCTTCCACCACACTGTTCTCAAATTCATTTCAGTCTTTCCTCCACCTTCCTTACTCAATATCCTAAGTTCTAGTCTCAGCTAGCTTTTCCAGGTGCCTGAATAACTTCTCAGTTTGAACTCCTGAAATTCATTCTCTATCCCATATATTGCAAGTAGAATAATCTTTTAACATTCAGAAATATTTTTACATATCAATGATGTATTTCTATTATAAAGTAAAGTGACAGTTATCTACCAATCAGTTTAAGAAATAAAATGTTTCCAAGCTGTCTGTCATCCCATTTCTTGTTCGAGAGGTAACACTGGCTGAACTGTTTATTATTTATTTTCTTTTAGTTTTACTACATAGGTATATATCCATGATAGCACTTAGTTTTGCATGACATTAGATTTTATTATCAAAATACTTAATTCTTCTGAAACTCATTTTTTTTCTCTTAACATTATGCCTTTGGCCAAGTTCATCTCTGTGTTCCTTAATTTTCATTGCTGAATAGTATTCCAGAACCCACCTCCCCCTTCTTTCTCCATTTACAAACAGTGCTATTATAAACCTTGTTTTCTTACCATTTGGCACATAAGATATCACACCAAATGTGTGAATTGTTGGGGATAGGATATAACCATTTTTAACTTTGATACCACCCCAATTGGTTCTCCAGTGAGGTCACATCAAATGTACACTCTACCTACTCATGTAAGACTGACTGTAATTCCACACCAGTATCAATAATGTTCACTGCCAACTATTTATATGCCAAACTACTGAGAGTAAGTAGCATACTAATATAGATTTAGTTAGCACTCCCTAGTTAACTTAGAAATCATTTATATAACTCATTGCAAGTCTATGTCTTTAGATATTCAAAGTATTATAAAAATATTTATATTCCAAGAGAGAACAATTTATGCTATGTGGTTTTTTTTAACCACAACAAAAGTAGAGAAATAAATATTTTTTTCTATTAAATGTGTTGAAAACATCAACTTCCAGTCTGTAGATTTTCTTTTGACTTTTACATATTAATTTTTAATAACCATTCAGATTTTAATACAGTTGAATATGCCACTTGCTTTATAGTTAATTTTTTTAAAAATCATATATACAATATAACATATGATTATTATAATTAACATACAGTATTATCAGAAATTATTTTTCACTATCAAAAAAGAGATTTACTCCTTACACTGAGGTCTTTAACATACATTATTGCTATGTACCTATGAGACAAATACCCAAATTTTGTCTTTTCCATATGGATAATCAATCATTACAGCTTCATTTTTAAAAATAGTGGCTTCTTTGCCCACAGATCTACAGTGCCACCCTGTTAGAATCCATAAATGTACTGAGTATGCCTTTAAGGTCTTGGTTCTTTACCACTGTTTTATTTGTCTACCCCACACCACTGTTATAATTACTAAATTCCTACAGTTTCATTTGAATACTAATCATAATTGGACAATGATTACACCAATTTGCTGTTGTTCTTCAAAACTACCCTTGTCATTCTTCTCTCATATAAAGTTATTCAATCAGTTTGTTAAGTTCACACAGACTGATAGAACTATATTACATTAAATATACACATTCGTGGGAGAAAAATTGATTTTATTTAATCTCACTGTTTATACTTATGCTTTAGTTCATTTACTTAAGATTTTGAAAGTGAAGAGAACACACTAATTTGTATATTTATTTAGTAGCTACCTCATGATTTTATTTTTCATAAAAATATCTTCAATTTTTTTCAGTGTGTTGCTAATAAACAGAAATGGAGCTAATTTTCACACACTGTTTACAGAAAAATTGGTAACCTCTATTAATTTTCTCAGTTATCAATCAGCAAATAATTAATTTTGTTTCTCCCTTTCCAATGTTTATATATTTTTTCTTTTGCTTGTCTTATTGCCCTGGTGAATGCTACACTGAAGAATTCCAATGAGCAGCATGGTCTTGGTCTATATTTTTATGTGACTATTTCTTATAGGTTTAATAAATGAACTGACAAACTAATGATTAAATACAGAAGTTTCTAGGTAGGAAGAATAGAATATTTGTGTAAATCTAAACAAATCACAAGCATTAGAAAAAATAGACAACTTTAAAGTAATGTTTTTCTCCTCTCAAGATAGCTATGACTCTTTTAAAGATCCTAAAAAAAATTTTACACAAAGAGCTTTGGCTACTACCACAAATAGAAAGATAATTGCAGTGAAGGAAGAAACCTTTAATTTTTACAAAGGAACCAGTACAAAGATAGTATACTAAAACCAACTCTTTTCTGACCACAATGATATGAAACCAGAAATAACAAGAGGAAGTTAAGATCTACAATACATGGAAACCAAGTAACACAATTCTCAACAAACAATGAGTCAAAGAAGAAATCAAAAGGGAAATATAAAGCTATCTCAAAACAAATGAAAATAGAATACAACATATCAAATCTGATGTGATACAGCAAAAGCAGTTCTGAGAGGAAAATTTACAGCAATAAATGTAACTATCAAAACTAGGAGGAATAGTAGGTGTAATAACATCATTCTTTCTTTTAAATAAAATGATAACATAATGACTGTTAACTCGGAATTTTGTTGCCATTGTTACATCTTTACATCTTTAATTATAACACAGATGAAACCCAAATGGTAAGGATCTTTGTACTCTCTTCTAAAAAGAGCCACAGCTAAATAAATCATTCTAAGACCTAAAATTTAAAAGGGTAGACAACAAGTAATTCAGTCAAGTTAAAGTTTTGTGTCTTGCTGTCCCTTGTAATTTTGACCATCCTATGACTTTACCACTGACTGGTCATGTTGTAACTACATAGAGTTTAAGTCACATACATTCTAAAACTAAGCAGAGGAATATTATAAAATGAGCACAGAAATACACAAACACCAAAGCATGTGATCTCAGGCAATGATAAAAAAAAGTTATTAAAATCTAGGCAACTGTTTTATGATTTAGTCCTCTAATAGTTATATTATTCTTATTACTTCAAATTTTCACTAATGTATGGTTAAGCTTAATATTATATAGCATTAGACAAATAAAGTATATATATAGTCAAAAATAAGTAGTTAGAATGACCAGCATTATTCACCTCTAACAGATGACTAAGATCTAAGATAATCAAAAACTGCTGACAAGGAGTCTTATGAAGATAAAATACAGTAGTACTTTACTTGTCTTTTAAATATGAATTATTCCCAAGCATGTTAGAGTGTTAGGGTCTAGAGATCCAGTGGACAATTATAGTTTAGTAATTAACATAACCTCTCAGCACAACATATGTTGTATCCAACACTGTAAAAAATAAAACCACCTGACGTTTATTCAGCAGTTTACAGAGCACTCTCAAATTAGTTTTCTTTTTATTCTAAGTTGGCTAAGCTACAAGGATATAAACCTGGTGCTATTGGTAATAACTACTGCACCTAGTTAGGGCAGTCTGCCTGAGAATGAAACAAAGCCAGAGAAAAATGGAGCTTAGGAATGGAAAGAAAGAGAAACACTTTCAAAAATATTGTATAAGAACTGTATCCAACTTACCTGAAACAAGATACAGATGTAACTCTGTATCTTTCAATCATACAACACAATAAATTCCCTTTTCTTTTTAAGTCAGAATGAGTTGGGTTCCTATTACTTATTAATAAGAATTCTGACTAATGTAAGTGTCAGTCATGTTGTTAACTGCAGCAGCGAAACTCTTTTTACCATACCTAACTTCCCCTGGAGTAATGAGAAAATCATGACTTGGAGCTTGATTGTTAAGCCCAACACAATCACTGCCTAAATGATCCAAGACATATAATGTAGATGACCTCAACATGAGTCCCAAAATCAGGGATATTATAATTTATAGGGTTGTTTTGAGAGGTAAATTAGATTTCTGTTGCTGTTGTTATTTTTTGCTAAGCAATTTCAAAAGAGTTTGGATCTGTACCTAGTACAGATCTTTAGCTAGTGAAGGTACTATGTCTCAAAAAACCCACCATAAATTGCAAATACCTTAGGTCAAAAATGCATGTAATACACCTAATATATGAAACATCACAGCTTATCCTAGCCTACCTTAGATGTGTTCACAACACACTGACAAATTAATATACTTCAGGGTATGAGTTGTTTCCCCTTATGAATGCATGGCTGACAGAATTCTGCTAGCTGCTGCAGCCAGCATCACAAAAATAGGATCATACTACACATCGCTAGCCTAGGAAAAGGTTGAAATGTCAATATTCAAAATACAGTTTTTACTAAATGCCTATCATTTTCACATTATCATAAAGTCAAAACATTCAACCTGTAACTTAGGGACCACCTTTGAAGAAAATAAATAGTAGCAGTACTCCTGCTGTCTGCTACAGGGCACTAAATATCTAGGAAAATATCTATAAAACTTCCTAACACAAATAAAAAACAACAATTACTTATTCCCTTTAGAGTAAAAATGGTTAGAAATTGATAACCATATTCATCTTCTACTGCTAACCATAGAAAAATAATGAAAACTAATAAAGACTGACTCCAATGATTGTTTCCTCCTATTTACCAGGAATCTAGAAAAACACTGCTAGCAGAAGAAAATAAGCAAACCTAAACAGATGGCTGAAGATATGAAATGAGTCACATAATATCTAGTATTTGCCCCTGTGAGACCTCAATATTCATGTAAGGATTTCAAGTTCCTTGCAAGGGGGAAGATGATCACAACCTACTCACATTAGCAGATATACTAGCAGAACCATCCAATGACATACAACAAAATCAAAATGATAGACTCACAGTATTTGGAACATATGGTAAGCCATAAAACTTCTCCTGTGTTTCCTTGAGAATGTCTGTGGTTGACCTCTTCAGGGGATGTTTCCCATGGTAGATTTGATCAAGAATGGCATAAAAGACCTAGACAGATGAAGACACATGTTTAGTTTCAGTAATCCTCTTTATATCTAAGATGTGGTCCACCAAAGATGTCCACCAAAGGGCACCAGAATAATACCCATAAGTTTTAGCTGAAAACATTCATAAACATAAATGTATATACTTGAGATATATTTTGTTACCACATTTAAAAGACCATGCTAATGACGAAAAGGAAAGCTTTCGACATTTTCATTAAATTTATGACTATAAAACAGGAATTTGTGCATGCATGCAAATACACACACACACACACACACACACACTCATAAGTCCCAGCAACATTGGTTCCTGATACCTTCTTGGAAACTGAGACTTAAATGAAACAATATATAACAAAACAACCAGGGTTAAGAGATATAAACAATGGGATATTTCTGGTCACAAAGGCATCACCAAACTTCTAAATAAAGACCCAAAAGTTTTATCTGTAAGCAATTATTTGTATTCACTCATTTTCCAGCTCACTTATTCCAGTGCAGGATCACAGGTGATCAGAACCTATCCCAGTGGTTTAAGTTGGGAGACCTACCTCAGATAAGATACCCTCCATCACAGGGCACATTCACAACCACACTCACTGAAACTGGGACAATCGAGCCATGCCAATTAGCCTAATGCAGACATCTCTGGGATGTGGAAGGAAACGAACTCCTGGAGAAAACCCCCAGACAAGGGGAGAATGTATAAATACCACACTAGACTGATCCCAGCCAAGAGTCAACTTATTTTCCCTCATCAATGAAACAACACTGAAAAAAGTGATGTTATTCAATTACCTGATGAAAATTGGCACACATACACACACTGCTGAAATATGAAAAAATAAAGTTATAATTTGTAACCTGCCTAAATCTAACATATTCTATATGATTTCTTCTGGATTCTTGACACATCTTAAATAAGAGAAATGAAATGGCCAGAATCTTAGTTTTGTGATGAGAGGTGAAAGAACATTAAAAAGGTGGGGTGATGCGGGGATTATAATCGAAATGGAAAAAAAAATGTGCAAAATGATGTAAAAATAAACTTTTGTAATAATTAAAAAAAAAAAAAGGTGGGGTGAGGTGGGATGAGGTCGAGAGAGAAATAGCAACTCAGTGCCTTATGAATGGTGCAGCTGTTGGAGAGTCTAGAACTGGGGCCAAGTCAGGCCCCACATCTGGTGTCAGGAGGATCAGAGCAGGCAGCTGCTGTGTAGGGTAATGCTGGCTTCAGGAGGTGACCAAGAGAGAAGAACTACTTACTTCTGAACAGAGGACACAGGCCAATGAAACTTAATACAAGAATAAAGCATTTGAGGGAAACAAAATTAAACACGAAATCTGCTCTAAAAGCTCTGTAAATTAAACTTCACATAGAAAATCTAAAAGAATGCTTTTCCTGTGTCACAACTCACTTGAAAATTAACACTGTTTAAAGTTCACCTGAAGCAAGAAAGCAGAAAATGCTTTACTTTACAGAAACTTCTCACATGCAATTGTTTCTGATACACAGAGAATGTGCAGCTGTTGACTTGAAAGTACTGAGGATTATTTTGGATGAAAGAAAAAATTTAAATGACTTTTAGCTTCTGGCTCCATAGGATATAGAATTATGGTTCCAAATTATAAAGTCAAATTTAAACCTTCCCTAGAAAATACAGAGATTTCCTAAATATAAACTTGCTTTACTCTAACTGGTAATCTAAACATATAGCTAAATATAGTTCTTTCAATTCTATATTCTAAATGAGTAACAATGAATAAAGATAATCAAAGAAGCCAAAATTACTCATCTGTGTATTGTCTATTTCAAACAGATAACTTAAGAGTTGAATCTCTTAAAAACGCATCTCAACTGAGATGGGTTTTTTCCCCAATATATAAACAAATCAGAATTCAAGAGTTTCTATTCCTTCAATTATACCTTTCACATATGAATAATTTTTTAATTTAATTATATAAACAGAACAAAATTAATTAAAAGTGCATTTATTTCTTCTCATTGATTGATGAAATTATTGATAAGCCAAAAAATCGTAAAGATATGTGCCCATTTGCCCACCCAGGGAATCATGCATGACATAGCACAAGAGCTTTAAAGCCACAGAAACACAGGAGCCTATTTTCAACACATGCATTACAAATTATCTTTTTTTTTTTAAGATTTATTTATTTATGCATACAGAACTGGGCTACAGGTCAGAGGTGTGTGAGGGGGGAGGGGGCAGTGAGAGGATTCACCAGAGACAAAGTGGGGAGCAAAACAGGCAGACAAAAAGCTAACCATCAGGGAAGTTTGCAAATCAAAACCACAGTGAAAGATCACCTCACGCCTGTGAGAATGACCCATCCAAAACACCAGAAACAACCAGTGTTTGGGAGGGTGTGGGTGAAAAAGGATCCCTTGTACATTGTTGGTGAGAATGTGAATTGATCTAGCCCCTACAGAAAAGAGTATAAAGGTTCCTCAAAGAGTTAAACACAAAGTAGATCTACCAGTAATTCCATTTCTGGTATTTATCTGAAGAATATAAAAATACTGACTGGAAGGGATAAGTGAACTATTCCTACACTCATTGCAGCACTATTTACAAAAGTCAAGACACAAAAGCATGATATGCAAGTACCTTCTCCCACTTGGTAGGTTATCTTTTAGTTTTAATAGTTTCTTTCAATGTGCAGAAACTTTTAGTTTGACAGAGTTACAGTTGTTTATTTTTGCTTTTGTTTGTTGGCCACTTAAGTGAGACCCCAAAGATACCCCTGAGGTCAAAGTCCTGAGGTATATACTACCTATGTAAAACTACATTTTTTAAAAAGATGCAAAATAAATAGAAACATATTAACTTGCTTGCTGAAAGATATGAATTTGAAGAAGCCATGTAACTTTTCTAAGCTTTTATTATCTTGATTGAAAATGAGAAATAACAATATTTAGCATCTATTTCATAAGGTCACTGAGAAGACTGGATGAGTCAATTTTGGTCTAGTTCTTTGAACTTAGATGAAAGGTGTTTTAGGAACATAATTATTATAATAAATGTGTAACACTGGCAAGAATTTTAAGTTGGATATTCATTTTGAATGATCACTCTGGAAAACTTGAGAACAAAGTTACATACCTACCTGAAGTTTCATGTCGGCTGCTGCACAAACCTTTTTAGATTCACACAGACGAGACACCATATTTTTGGGCAATGACTTGAAAAACAAAAGAATATATGTGAGTAAACCATTAATAACTCTGTAGTATGTATTTATGAATATAGAAGTTAAACATGGCATTAAATTAAAAGAATTTCATTATTTTTTAAAAAAATAACAACTTTGGAATATATTAGTTGACAAAAATACCAAGGGAGAATCAAAAGCCCCAAAGTAAGTCTACACACATATCAATACATAATTTAAGACAAATGAACCATGACCAAACAATGGAAAAAAGGAAATTTCTTCAACAGATAATGTTGGGAAAAGCAGACAAAAACATCCAAATAAATGAAACTGGATCTCTCTAGTTCCAAACACAAAAATAAATTCAAAGTAGATTCAAGAGTTGTATGTAAGATATGAAATCATTAAATATTTAGAAGAAAATATAGGTGATATTTTCCATGACATCAATGGCAAAAATGTACTCAGGAACTCAACCTCACCAGCAAAGGAAATGAAAGCAAACCTAATGACTGGAACTATATCAAATCAAAAAAACTTTCTGCACAGTGAAGAAAAGTATTAGCAAAATAAAAAGACATCCTACTGCATGGGAGAAGCTATTTGCAGATTATACATCTAACAAGGGGTTTATATCTGATATACCTAAAGAGCTTATCCAATTTAATAAGAAAAAAATATCCAATTAAAAAGATTGCTAACAAATGTTAATGAGATAACAGAGAAAGAGGAACCCTTATAAACTGCTGGCGAGGCTGTAAACTGGTACAGCCATTTTGGAAAGTGGTAGAACTACTAATTGACCCAGTAATCCCACTTGTGGGTATCTACCTGAAAAATATAAAATTATAAATTCCAATAATTTGTATGTGTCAAAATGTGTGGCATTATTTACAATAAGTAAGATATGAAAGCAACTGAAGTGCGCCCCCCACCCCAATAAAGGACTGGATAAAGATGTGGTATACATGCACATTGGAAAACTATTTTGTTCTAAAAAAATGATGAAATTTTGCCATTTGCTACAAAATGAAAAGAACTCAAAGGGATTATGGGAAGTGAAAACAATTAGAAATATAAAGTATTAGATGGTTTCACCTCTATGCTCAATAAAAGAAACAAGTAAACAGGTAAATGAACAAAACAAAATAAGCTGGTGTCTATTAAAAATCAAAATGAGGCCCTCCCTGGTGGCGCAGCCGGTTAAAGCACTGCACTGAGAACCTAAAGCCACTTCTGCATGAGTTCGATCCCCGCCTGCCCGGGAGGAGACCACATGGCGTGGCAGACCTCTCCTGGCCCGCCCGCTGCTCCCCTCAGCAGTGTACTTCATCGATCTGCCTGTTCTGCTCCCCACTCTGTCTCTGGTGAAGCCTCTCACCGCCCCTGAGCCTCTGGCCTGTACCCCAGTTCTGTATGTACAAATAAATAAATCTTTAAAAAAAAAAAAAAATGAGGTCACCAGAGGTGAAGAGGTTGGAGCAAGGAAGTATGAGTACAATGGATGATGGGTGTTTTTTTCTGTTTTTAAAAATTGAAAAAAATAAAAGGAAGACAATCCATTTAATTTCAAAAAGTGACAAATGTAAAATAGGAGTTTGTAGATGAAAATACAGATTGTGAGGAATAAAGGCACTGGCACTAATCTTTAAAAATGTATTTAACAGTTAATGCTTTTTCTATTCCTTTGTCACCAACTAAAGCCTGTTCAAGTACTCTATTGATGTTAAGGCACATATAATAACTGATGATAGCAATAAAAAATTAAAATGTCAAGCAATAAAGTATAATTTGTGATTCTTGCCAGTAATAATGATGAATTGATACCTAACAACAACAACCAAAAAAATTGCATGTTCTTTTATTTTCCATCTTATAAGAATTACAGAGCTTGGACACTCAGTATAATATTCCTATATGATTTAGGACCTTCCTCTGAAACTAAGTAGGCAAAATCCTTTGACAAAGTCTCCTAGAAATAAACTAGATGATGTAGTGGAAGTTGTAATTTACTCAGTTTTCTTCTACTTTAAAATCAGTAATCTGATGTTTATTAAAAAGTTACCACTTTATACAGCTATAGGTAAGTGCCTTTAAAAAGAAACATATTATACAAGAGACCTAAGACAGGTACTCAGCACCAGAGTTGTATATATTGCTATTAATCACCAATGAATGAAAATGTGAGCTGAAAGAAGAATCAGGAACCAATTGTAACAAATATATATAACAACATAATTAATATAATATATATGTGTATACACACTCACATCCCTAGGACCTAGAATAGTGACAATAAATATCTGCATAAGAATGAATGAACACAAGAATGACTACTTCCTATGTGAAAGATTACAATTATATTAGTGAAGGCCGAGACAACAAATCTGTTGCCTACCCTTTTCTTTTCCCATTGGATATTTTTTAAAAAAAAAAGCAATCAAAGAAGAAAAGTTGACTTTAAAGAGCTAACACATGGACTGAAGGACAGCGTATAGTGTAAACTCTGGTACAGGTGACAGGTCTGAGGCACTAGGGGCTTGTATAAAACAAAATATCCTCAAGCAGGATTTTTTTTTTTTTAAAGATTTATTTATTTGTGCATACAGAACTGGGGTACAGGCCAGAGGCTCAGGGGCAGCGAGAGGCTTCACCAGAGACAGAGTGGGGAACAGAACAGGCAGATAGACGAAGTACACTGCTGAGGGGAGCAGTGGGCGGGTCAGGAGAGGTCTGCCATGCCATGTGGTCACCTCCAGGGCAGGTGGGAATCGAACTCATGCGGAAGCGGCTTTAGCTTCTCAGTGCTGTGCTTTAACCCGCTGCGCCACCAGGGAGGGCCTCAAGCAGGATTTTTAAAGTCAAATTTTAGTTAAGGCATATATGAAATGTTCACATTTCTTTATATTACACTTTTTTTTTGGATAGGGCTCATGCTACGCTTAAGAGATTTTTCATGCCTCACAAACCTTCAGTCCAGGCAAAACAAAATATCCTCAAGCAGGATTTTTAAAGTCAAATTTTAGTTAAAGCATATATGCCAAAGAAATGTTCACATTTCTTTATATTACACTTTTTTTTTTTTTGATAGGACTCATGCTACACTTAAGAGATTTTTTATGCCTCACAAACCTTCGGTCCAGGCAAACCTCGAGATAGTGCAGCCTTAGCCCCAGATCACTGCAATAAAGGCAGTCCCAGGAACTTTCTGGTTCCCTGGTGCATATAAAGTTCATACTTATACTATATAGTGGTCTATTAAGAATATGCCTAAAAAATTTTGATGTGCACACCTTAATTTAAAAATACCTTGTCACAGATAAATGCTAACCATTACCTGCATCTGCAGCAAGTCCATACTCTTTTTTTCTGGTAAAGGATATTGCACTGATATCATGGCTGCTGACTAATCAGGGCAGTAGTCAATGAAAGTTAGGGTGGCTGTGGCAATTTCTTAAAAGGAGACTTTTGAAGTTTGCAACATCTATTGACTCTATCATGAGAGATTCCTTTTTAGCATGTGATGCTGTTTGACAGCATTTTACCCACAGTGAAACTTTTTTTCAAAACAGGAGTAACTCCTCTCAAACCCTGCTGCTGCTTTGTCAGCTAAATTTATGCACTAGTCTAGTCTTCTAATCATCTCAACAATGCTCACAACATCATATTCTAGAGTAGGTTCCATATCAAGAAACCACTGGCTTTGCTCATTCAGATAGAGCAACTGTCCATTGAGTATAGCAATTCAGTCACATTTTCAGGATCTGGTTCTAATTCTAGTTCTCTTACTATTTCTACCACATCTGTGGTTACTTCCTCCACTGCAGTCTTGAATCCCTTGAAGACATCCAAGAGGGTTGAAATGAACTCCTTTCAAAATCCTGTTAGTATGGATATTTTGACCTCCTCCCATGAATCACAAATGTGATTAGTGGCCCCCAGAATGATGGATTCTTTCCAGGAAGTTTTCAATGAACTTTGCCCAATTCATCAGAAGATTTACACTATCTATGACCACTACAGCCTTACAAAAACTATTTATTAAATAATTAAGACTTGATAGTCAAAATTATTCCTTGATCCATGAGCTACAAAATAGATGTTGTGCTAGAAGCCATAAAATAACATAAATCTCCTTGCAGATATCCATCAGTACTTTTGGGTGCCTAAGTGCATTGTCAACGAGTAGTAATATATTGAAGAGAATCTTTTTTTCCTGAGCAACAAATATCAAGAGCTGGCTTAAAATATTCAGTAAACCATGTTGTAAACAGATGTGCTGTTATCCAGGCTTTCTCCCATTTTACAGCACAGACATAATTTTTAAGAGTGCTAAGATTTTTAGAATGATAAATGAGTACTGGCTTCAACTTAGCCACCAGCTTCCTTAGGAGAGATAGTCATGCTCTCTCTCTTTTTTCTTAATTTGAGTAAAACTTTTTATTAATTTTTATTAATTTTTACATCATTATTTGTTTTATGCATTTTTTTTTTCATTTCAGTTGTAATCCCCATGGACTTCTCACCACCAATTCACCTGTGTGCCATCACCATAATCCTGTGGACTCTTCCCCACCCCACCCCAGTTTTGATCTTATTCCCCTCTCCACCTCCATAAAATGTCTCTAGTTTATAGTTGTTCATTGTTTTTCATTTTTTCTTTATTCCAATTGCCTTCCCCACCCCCCAACATTGGTCCCTTACATTTCTGCTATGACTGAAACCATCTAATATTTTACTTTTTCTTTCTGACTTATTTCACTACGCATGATCCCTTCCAGCTCCATCCATGTTGCTGCAAAAGGCATGAATTCATCTTTTTTGATTGCTGAGTAATATTGTGTATATGTACCACATCTTTTTAATCCAGTCATCTCTTTTGGGGCATTTGGGTGATTCCGCATCTTCCCTATTGTAAACAGAACAGCAATAAACATGGGAGTGAAATGGCCTTTTGAGTCTATGTTTTTATGTCCTTTGGGTAAATACGTAGAAGTGGGATTGCTGGGTCATATGGAAGTTCCATT